CCCCCCCCCCCCCCGGCCTCGGTAGGAAGAAGTGGGGGTGGTCTGCAGAGCCGGCATATGGGGGGATCCTGCTTGAAAGCTGGCTCCCCACATGTATTGGCTCCTGCTTGCCCACCCCCATCCTTCACGCTGCTGCCTTCTCTGTCCTCTGGCTGGGGGAACAGAAGTGCATGGAGGCTTTTCCCCTGCTCCCACTGGCGGGACTCTCCGACAATGGGAGCAGCAGGAGGCAATGCCTGGGATATGATGCCTGGGAGTGACGGGGGGGGGGCCAAAACCAATACAACTCAGCTCCCCATCACCCTCATACACCTACTCACAGATACCCCACATCCCCAGCCCACTCCTGCACCTCCCCCCGGCCAGACATTGCATCCTGCTTTGCTCATGAATCCTCCCTCCTGGAGGAACTCTATACCTACCCTTGCTCCTGCATCCTCCTTCCTACCCAGACCCCACTCCCCTCAGCCTGCTCCTGCGCCCAACCTCCTGGCCAGACGCAATCTCCTGCCCGCTCTTGCGTCCCACCCCCCACCCATTTTATCATCATGGGTGATTGGCTGGTAGTGTATGGAATAGGGATGTTAACGATCAGTTATTTTACTAGTCGAGTACTCGATGGAATTTCCTCCTTTGAAATGTACAAGAGCCTCCGCATGCAACCCGGGGCCAGCCGGAAGTCCTGCTGACTCCGGGCTGCACGCAAGTGTGCCAGCTTTGAAGTGTCCAAGAGTACCCAGCGGGGCTCTTGTGCATTTCAAAGCGGAAGCGCAGCAGGGAGCCCGGGGTCAATGGGGGATTCTATCTGAAAAGGCAGCAAGGGGAAAAGAGGGGGAGAAATCGACTAGTTGTCTGACTATCTGATAAGCATTTGCTTATTGGATAGTCAACTAGTCCTTAACACCTTTAATGTGGAAAGGTCTCTGTTGCGTGGGGTGAGCCACAGACAAAAAATTTGAGAACCACTGCCATAGAAAGAGCCTTATACAGCTGACTCATAGCCAGCCTCTGACTATAGAGAGAAGTATTCCCTCTCCCATTCCATGCCTTCTGCCTGGAACCTACAGCACTTACATTTTAAATTCTGGAAATTGCTGGTATTTTTGGAACT